ATCGGGTAGGTCATTCACCCCGAACGAGATTCTGCCCTTCGGCGGAATCTGTCCGGTTCTCTCTGCTCAAAAGCAGAGAGTTCGACCGTCAAGTCGAGAAGCTCGGCTTGATTCGGTATCTAGCCACCCCCACGAGGGTTGCATGTGACACAAGGTCGTTTTTATCGTGGGTTTCCTGAGCCCGTAGGCTCAGCCAAAAATATGCCCGTGACTCGTAAAACGAGATCGGGTAGGGTCATTCACCCCCGAACGAGATTCTGCCCTTCGGCGGAACCTCGTCCGGGTTCCCCTCTGCTGAAAAGCAGAGAGTTCGACCGTCAAGTCGAGAAGCTCGGCTTGATTCGGTATCTAGCCACCCCCCCACGAGGGTTGCATGCGACACAAGGTCATTTTATCGTGGGTTTCCTGAGCCCGTGTAGGCTCAGCCAAAATATGCCCGTATGACTCGTAAAAACGAGATCAGGGTAGGCCATTGACCCCGAACGAGATTCTGCCTTCGGCGGAACCTCGTCCGGGTTCCTTTCTGCTCAAAAGCAGAGAGTTCGACCGTCAAGTCGGAAAGCTTGGCTTGATTCAGTATCTAGCCACCCCCACGAGGGTTGCATGTGACACAAGGTCATTTTTATCGTGGGTTTCCCTAAGCCCGTAGGCTCAGCCAAAAATATGCCCGTATAACTCGTAAAACGAGATCAGGGTAGGTCATTCACCCCGAACGAGATACTGCCCTTCGGCGGAACCTCGTCCGGGTTCCTTTCTGCTCAAAAAGCAGAGAGTTCGACCGTCAAGTCGGGAAGCTTGGCTTGATTCAGTATCTAGCCACCCCCACGAGGGTTGCATGCGACACAAGGTCATTTTTATCGTGGGTTTCCCTGAGCCCGTAGGCTCAGCCAAAATATGCCCGTATGATTCGTAAAAACGAGATCAGGGTAGGTCATTCACCCCGAACCAGATTCTGCCCTTCGGCAGAACCTCGTCCGGGTTCCTTTCTGCTCAAAAGCAGAGAGTTCGACCGTCAAGTCGAAAAAGATCGGCTTGATTCGGTATCTAGCCACCCCCCACGAAAGTTGCATGCGACACAAGGTCATTTTTATCGTGGGTTTCCTGAGCCCGTAGGCTCAGCCAAAAATATGCCCGTATGACTCGTAAAAACGAGATAGGGTAGGTCTTTCACCCCGAACGAGATTCTGCCCTTCGGCGGAACCTCGTCGTCCGTTCCTTTCTGCTCAAAAGCAGAGAGTTCGACCGTCAAGCCGAAAAGATCGGCTTGATTCAGTATCTAGCCACCCCCCCACGAGGGTTGCATGCGACACAAGGTCATTTTTATCGTGGGGTTTCCTGAGCCGTAGGCTCAGCCAAAAATATGCCCGTATGACTCGTAAAAAACGAGATCAGGGTAGGTCTTTCACCCCGAACGAGATTCTGCCCTTCGGCGGAACCTCGTCCGGGTTCCTTTCTGCTCAAAAGCAGAGAGTTCGACCGTCAAGTCGAGAAGCTCGGCTTGATTCAGTATCTAGCCACCCCCCACGAGGGTTGCATGTGACACAAGGTCGTTTTTATCGTGGGTTTCCTGAGCCCGTAGGCTCAGCCAAAAAATATGCCCGTATGACTCGTAAAACGAGATAGGGTAGGTCATTCACCCCGAACGAGATTCTGCCCTTCGGCGGAACCTCGTCCGGGTTCCTTTCTGCTCAAAAAGCAGAGAGTCGACCGTCAAGTCGAGAAGCTCGGCTTGATTCAGTATCTAGCCACCCCCCCACGAGGGTTGCATGCGACACAAGGTCGTTTTTATCGTGGGTTTCCTGAGCCCGTAGGCTCAGCCAAAAATATGCCCGTATGACTCGTAAAAATGAGATAGGGTAGGTCTTTCACCCCGAACGAGATTCTGCCTTCGGCGGAACCTCGTCCGGGTTCCTTTCTGCTCAAACGCAGAGAGTTCGACCATCAAGTCGAAAAGATCGGCTTGATTCAGTATCTAGCCATCCCCCACGAGGGGTTGCATGCGACACAAGGTCGTTTTTATCGTGGGTTTCCTGAGCCCGTAGGCTCAGCCAAAAATATGCCCGTATGACTCGTAAAAACGAGATAGGGTAGGTCTTTCACCCCGAACGAGATTCTGCCCTTCGGCGGAACCTCGTCCGGGTTCCTTTCTGCTCAAAAGCAGAGAGTTCGACCGTCAAGTCGAGAAGCTCGGCTTGATTCAGTATCTAGCCACCCCCCACGAGGGTTGCATGTGACACAAGGTCGTTTTTATCATGGGTTTCCTGAGCCCGTAGGCTCAGCCAAAAATATGCCCGTATGACTCGTAAAACGAGATAGGGTAGGTCATTCACCCCGAACGAGATTCTGCCCTTCGGCGGAACCTCGTCCGGGTTCCTTTCTGCTCAAACGCAGAGAGTTCGACCATCAAGTCGAAAAGATCGGCTTGATTCAGTATCTAGCCATCCCCCCACGAGGGTTGCATGCGACACAAGGTCATTTTTATCGTGGGTTTCCTGAGCCCGTAGGCTCAGCCAAAAATATGCCCGTATGACACGTAAAAACGAGATAGGGTAGGTCATTCACCCCGAACGAGATTCTGCCCTTCGGCGGAACCTCGTCCGGGTTCCTTTCTGCTCAAAAGCAGAGTTCGACCGTCAAGTCGAAAAGATCGGCTTGATTCAGTATCTAGCCACCCCCACGAGGGTTGGCATGCGACACAAGGTCATTTTTATCGTGGATTTCCTGAGCCCGTAGGCTCAGCCAAAAATATGCCCGTATGACTCGTAAAAACGAGATCGGGTAGGTCATTCACCCCGAACGAGATTCTGCCCTTCGGCGGAACCTCGTCCGGGTTCCTTTCTGCTTAAAAGCAGAGAGTTCGACCATCAAGTCGAAAAGATCGGCTTGATTCAGTATCTAGCCACCCCCACGAGGGTTGCATGCGACACAAGGTCATTTTTATCGTGGGTTTCCTGAGCCCGTAGGCTCAGCCAAAATATGCCCGTATGACTCGTAAAAACGAGATCAGGTAGGTCATTCACCCCGAACGAGATTCTGCCTTCGGCGGAACCTCGTCCGGGTTCCTTTCGCTCAAAAGCAGAGTTCGACCGTCAAGTCGAAAAGATCGGCTTGATTCAGTATCTAGCCACCCCCCACGAGGGGTTGCATGCGACACAAGGTCATTTTTATCGTGGGTTTCCTGAGCCCGTAGGCTCAGCCAAAATATGCCCGTATGACTCGTAAAAACGAGATCGGGTAGGTCATTCACCCCCGAACGAGATTCTGCCCTTCGGCGGAACCTCGTCCGGGTTCCTTTCTGCTCAAAAGCAGAGAGTTCGACCGTCAAGTCGAAAAGATCGGCTTGATTCAGTATCTAGCCACCCCCCACGAGGGTTGCATGCGACACAAGGTCATTTTATCGTGGGTTTCCTGAGCCCGTAGGCTCAGCCAAAATATGCCCGTATGACTCGTAAAAACGAGATCAGGGTAGGTCATTCACCCCGAACGAGATTCTGCCTTCGGCGGAACCTCGTCCGGTTCCTTTCTGCTCAAACGCAGAGAGTTCGACCATCAAGTCGAAAAGATCGGCTTGATTCAGTATCTAGCCACCCCCCACGAGGGTTGCATGCGACACAAGGTCATTTTTATCGTGGGTTTCCTGGGCCCGTAGGCTCAGCCAAAAATATGCCCGTATGACTCGTAAAAACGAGATCAGGGTAGGTCATTCACCCCGAACGAGATTCTGCCCTTCGGCGGAACCTCGTCCGGGTTCCTTTCTGCTCAAAAGCAGAGAGTTCGACCATCAAGTCGAAAAGATCGGCTTGATTCAGTATCAGCCACCCCCACGAGGGTTGCATGCGACACAAGGTCGTTTTTATCGTGGGTTTCCCGAGCCCGTAGGCTCAGCCAAAATATGCCCGTATGACTCGTAAAACGAGATCAGGGTAGGTCATTCACCCCGAACGAGATTCTGCCCTTCGGCGGAACCTCGTCCGGGTTCCTTTCTGCTCAAAAGCAGAGAGTTCGACCGTCAAGTCGAAAAGCTCGGCTTGATTCAGTATCTAGCCACCCCCCACGAGGGTTGCATGCGACACAAGGTCATTTTTATCGTGGGTTTCCTGGAGCCCGTAGGCTCAGCCAAAAATATGCCCGTATGACTCGTAAAAACGAGATCAGGGGTAGGTCATTCACCCCGGAACGAGATTCTGCCCTTCGGCGGAACCTCGTCCGGGTTCCTTTTCTGCTCAAAAGCAGAGTTCGACCGTCAAGTCGAGAAGCTCGGCTTGATTCAGTATCTAGCCACCCCCCACGAGGGTTGCATGCGACACAAGGTCATTTTTTTATCGTGGGTTTCCCTGAGCCCGTAGGCTCAGCCAAAAAATATGCCCGTATGACTCGTAAAACGAGATCAGGGTAGGTCATTCACCCCGAACGAGATTCTGCCCTTCGGCGGAACCTCGTCCGGGTTCCTTTCGCTCAAAAGCAGAGAGTTCGACCGTCAAGTCGAAAAGATCGGCTTGATTCAGTATCTAGCCACCCCCACGAGGGTTGCATGCGACACAAGGTCATTTTTTATCGTGGGTTTCCTGAGCCCGTAGGCTCAGCCAAAAAAATATGCCCGTATGACTCGTAAAAACGAGATCAGGGTAGGTCATTCACCCCGAACGAGATTCTGCCCTTCGGCGGAACCTCGTCCGGGTTCCTTTCTGCTCAAAAGCAGAGAGTTCGACCATCAAGTCGAAAAGATCGGCTTGATTCAGTATCTAGCCACCCCCCACGAGGGTTGCATGCGACACAAGGTCATTTTTATCGTGGGTTTCCTGAGCCCGTAGGCTCAGCCAAAAATATGCCCGTATGACTCGTAAAACGAGATCAGGGTAGGTCATTCACCCCGAACGAGATTCTGCCCTTCGGCGGAACCTCGTCCGGGTTCCTTTCTGCTCAAAAGCAGAGAGTTCGACCATCAAGTCGAAAAGATCGGCTTGATTCAGTATCTAGCCACCCCCCCACGAGGGTGGCATGTGACACAAGGTCGTTTTTATCGTGGGTTTCCTGAGCCCGTAGGCTCAGCCAAAAATATGCCCGTATGATTCGTAAAAACGAGATCGGGTAGGTCATTCACCCCGAACGAGATTCTGCCCTTCGGCGGAACCTCGTCCGGGTTCCTTTCGCTCAAAAGCAGAGAGTTCGACCATCAAGTCGAAAAAAGATCGGCTTGATTCGGTATCTAGCCACCCCCCCACGAGGGTTGCATGCGACACAAGGTCATTTTATCGTGGGTTTCCTGGAGCCCGTAGGCTCAGCCAAAAATATGCCCGTATGACTCGTAAAAACGAGATCAGGGTAGGTCATTCACCCCGAACGAGATTCTGCCTTCGGCGGAACCTCGTCCGGGTTCCTTTCTGGTCAAAAGCAGAGAGTTCGACCGTCAAGTCGAAAGCTCGGCTTGATTCAGTATCTAGCCACCCCCACGAGGGTTGCATGCGACACAAGGTCATTTTTATCGTGGGTTTCCTGAGCCCGTAGGCTCAGCCAAAAATATGCCCGTATGACTCGTAAAAACGAGATCAGGGTAGGTCATTCACCCGAACGAGATTCTGCCCTTCGGCGGAACCTCGTCCGGGTTCCTTTCTGCTCAAAAGCAGAGAGTTCGACCGTCAAGTCGAAAGCTCGGCTTGATTCAGTATCTACCCACCCCCCACGAGGGTTGCATGCGACACAAGGTCATTTTTATCGTGGGTTTCCTGAGCCCGTAGGCTCAGCCAAAAATATGCCCGTATGACTCGTAAAAACGAGATCAGGGTAGGTCATTCACCCCGAACGAGATTCTGCCCTTCGGCGGAACCTCGTCCGGGTTCCTTTCTGCTCAAAAGCAGAGAGTTCGACCGTCAAGTCGAGAAGCTCGGCTTGATTCAGTATCTAGCCACCCCCCACGAGGGTTGCATGCGACACAAGGTCATTTTTTATCGTGGGTTTCCTGAGCCCGTAGGCTCAGCCAAAAATATGCCCGTATGACTCGTAAAAACGAGATAGGGTAGGCCATTCACCCCGAACGAGATTCTGCCCTTCGGCGGAACCTCGTCCGGGTTCCTTTCTGCTCAAAAGCAGAGAGTTCGACCGTCAAGTCGAGAAGCTCGGCTTGATTCAGTATCTAGCCACGCCCCCACGAGGGGTTGCATGCGACACAAGGTCATTTTTTATCGTGGGTTTCCTGAGCCCGTAGGCTCAGCCAAAAATATGCCCGTATAACTCGTAAAAACGAGATCGGGTAGGTCTTTCACACCGAACGAGATTCTGCCCTTCGGCGGAACCTCGTCCGGGTTCCTTTCTGCTCAAGAGCAGAGAGTTAGACCGTCAAGTCGAGAAGCTCGGCTTGATTCAGTATCTAGCCACCCCCCCCCACGAGGGTTGCATGCGACACAAGGTCATTTTTATCGTGGTTTTCCTGAGCCCGTAGGCTCAGCCAAAAATATGCCCGTATGACTCGTAAAAACGAGATAGGGTAGGCCATTCACCCCGAACGAGATTCTGCCCTTCGGCGGAACCTCGTCCGGGTTCCTTTCTGCTCAAAAGCAGAGAGTTCGACCGTCAAGTCGAGAAGCTCGGCTTGATTCAGTATCTAGCCACCCGCCCACGAGGGTTGCATGCGACACAAGGTCATTTTTATCGTGGGTTTCCTGGGCCCGTAGGCTCAGCCAAAATATGCCCGTATGACTCGTAAAAACGAGATCAGGGTAGGGTCATTCACCCCGAACGAGATTCTGCCCTTCGGCGGAACCTCGTCCGGGTTCCTTTCTGCTCAAAAGCAGAGTTCGACCATCAAGTCGAAAAGATCGGCTTGATTCGGTATCTAGCCACACCCCCACGAGGGTTGCATGCGACACAAGGTCATTTTTATCGTGGGTTTCCTGGGCCCGTAGGCTCAGCCAAAATATGCCCGTATGACTCGTAAAAACGAGATCAGGGTAGGTCATTCACCCCGAACGAGATTCTGCCCTTCGGCGGAACCTCGTCCGGGTTCCTTTCTGCTCAAAAGCAGAGAGTTCGACCGTCAAGTCGAGAAGCTCGGCTTGATTCAGTATCTAGCCACCCCCCACGAGGGTTGCATGCGACACAAGGTCATTTTTATCGTGGGTTTCCTGAGCCCATAGGCTCAGCCAAAATATGCCCGTATGACTCGTAAAAACGAGATCAGGGTAGGTCATTCACCCCGAACGAGATTCTGCCCTTCGGCGGAACCTCGTCCTGGTTCCTTTCTGCTCAAAAGCAGAGTTCGACCGTCAAGTCGAGAAGCTCGGCTTGATTCAGTATCTAGCCACCCCCCACGAGGGTTGCATGCGACACAAGGTCATTTTTATCGTGGGATTCCTGAGCCCGTAGGCTCAGCCAAAAAATATGCCCGTATGACTCGTAAAAACGAGATCAGGGTAGGTCATTCACCCCGAACGAGATTCTGCCCTTCGGCGGAACCTCGTCCGGGTTCCTTTCTGCTCAAAAGCAGAGAGTTCGACCGTCAAGTCGAGAAGCTCGGCTTGATTCAGTATCTAGCCACCCCCACGAGGGTTGCATGCGACACAAGGTCATTTTTTTATCGTGGGTTTCCTGAGCCCGTAGGCTCAGCCAAAAATATGCCCGTATGACTCGTAAAAACGAGATCAGGGTAGGTCATTCACCCCGAACGAGATTCTGCCCTTCGGCGGAACCTCGTCCGGGTTCCTTTCTGCTCAAAAGCAGAGAGTTCGACGGTCAAGTCGAGAAGCTCGGCTTGATTCAGTATCTAGCCACCCCCCACGAGGGTTGCATGCGACACAAGGTCATTTTTATCGGGGTTTCCTGAGCCCGTAGGCTCAGCCAAAAATATGCCCGTATGACTCGTAAAAACGAGATAGGGTAGGCCATTCACCCCGAACGAGATTCTGCCCTTCGGCGGAACCTCGTCCGGGTTCCCTTTCTGCTCAAAAGCAGAGTTCTACCGTCAAGTCGAGAAGATCGGCTTGATTCAGTATCTAGCAACCCCCCACGAGGGTTGCATGCGACACAAGGTCATTTTTATCGTGGGTTTCCTGAGCCCGTAGGCTCAGCCAAAAATATGCCCGTATAACTCGTAAAAACGAGATCAGGTTAGGTCATTCACCCCGAACGAGATTCTGCCCTTCGGCGGAACCTCGTCCCGGTTCCTTTCTGCTCAAAAGCAGAGAGTTCGACCGTCAAGTCGAGAAGCTCGGCTTGATTCAGTATCTAGCCACCCCCCACGAGGGTTGCATGCGACACAAGGTCATTTTTATCGTGGGTTTCCTGAGCCCGTAGGCTCAGCCAAAAATATGCCCGTATGACTCGTAAAAACGAGATAGGGTAGGCCATTCACCCCGAACGAGATTCTGCCCTTCGGCGGAACCTCGTCCGGGTTACTTTCTGCTCAAAAGCAGAGAGTTCGACCGTCAAGTCGAGAAGCTCGGCTTGATTCAGTATCTAGCCACCCCCCCCACGAGGGGTTGCATGCGACACAAGGTCATTTTTATCGTGGATTCCTGAGCCCGTAGGCTCAGCCAAAATATGCCCGTATGACTCGTAAAACGAGACCGGGTAGGTCATTCACCCCGAACGAGATTCTGCCCTTCGGCGGAACCTCGTCCGGGTTCCTTTCTGCTGAAAAGCAGAGAGTTCGACCGTCAAGTCGAGAAGCTCGGCTTGATTCAGTATCTAGCCACCCCCGAGGGTTGCATGCGACACAAGGTCATTTTTTATCGTGGGTTTCCTGAGCCCGTAGGCTCAGCCAAAAATATGCCCTTCCGTATGACTCGTAAAAACGAGACCGGGTAGGTCATTCACCCCTGAACGAGATTCTGCCCTTCGGCGGAACCTCGTCCGGGTTCCTTTCTGCTCAAAAGCAGAGAGTTCGACCGTCAAGTCGAGAAGCTCGGCTTGATTCAGTATTCAGCCACCCCCCACGAGGGTTGCATGCGACACAAGGTCATTTTTTATCGGGTTTCCTGAGCCCGTAGGCTCAGCCAAAAATATGCCCGTATGACTCGTAAAAACGAGATCCAGTAGGGTCATTCACCCCGAACGAGATTCTGCCCTTCGGCGGAACCTCGTCCGGGTTCCTTTCGCTCAAAAAGCAGAGAGTTCGACCGTCAAGTCGAAAGCTCGGCTTGATTCAGTATCTAGCCACCCCCCACGAGGGTTGCATGCGACACAAGGTCATTTTTATCGTGGGTTTCCTGAGCCCGTAGGCTCAGCCAAAAATATGCCCGTATGACTCGTAAAAAACAGATCAGGGGGGGTCATTCACCCCGAACGAGATTCTGCCCTTCGGCGGAACCTCGTCCGGGTTCCTTTCTGCTGAAAAGCAGAGAGTTCGACCGTCAAGTCGAGAAGCCGGCTTGATTCAGTATTCAGCCACCCCCCACGAGGGTTGCATGCGACACAAGGTCATTTTTATCGTGGGTTTCCTGAGCCCGTAGGCTCAGCCAAAATATGCCCATATGACTCGTAAAAACGAGATAGGGTAGGTCTTTCACCCCGAACGAGATTCTGCCCTTCGGCGGAACCTCGTCCTTGTTCCTTTCTGCTCAAAAGCAGAGAGTTCGACCGTCAAGTCGAAAAGATCGGCTTGATTCAGTATCTAGCCACCCCCCCACGAGGGTTGCATGCGACACAAGGTCATTTTTATCGTGGGTTTCCCTGAGCCCGTAGGCTCAGCCAAAAATATGCCCGTATGACTCGTAAAAAACGAGATCAGGGTAGATTCACCCCCCACGAACGAGATTCTGCCCTTCGGCGGAACCTCGTCCGGGTTCCTTTCTGCTGAAAAGAAGAGAGTTCGACCGTCAAGTCGAGAAGCCGGCTTGATTCAGTATCTAGCCACCCCCCCACGAGGGTTGCATGCGACACAAGGTCATTTTTATCGGGGTTTCCTGAGCCCGTAGGCTCAGCCAAAATATGCCCGTATGACTCGTAAAAAACGAGATAGGGTAGGCCATACACCCCGAACGAGTTTCTGCCCTTCGGCGGAACCTCG